TGTCCCCCCTTAATCTTCTTTTTTCCAAACTAAACAAGCCCAGTTCATGAAGCCTGGCTTCATAGGTCATGTTCTCTAAACCTTTAATCATCCTTGTCGCTCTTCTCTGTACCCTTTCCAATTTCTCCACATCTTTCTTGAAATGTGGCGCCCAGAACTGGACACAGTACTCCAGCTGAGGCCTAACTAGTGCAGAATAGAGCGGCAGAATGACTTCACGAGTTTTGCTTACAACACACCTGTTAATACAACCTAGAATCATATTTGCTTTTTTGGCAACAGCATCACACTGTTGACTCATATTCAACTTGTGGTCCACTATGACCCCTAGATCCCTTTCCGCCATGCTCCTTCCTAGACAGTCGCTTCCCATCTTGTATGTATGGAACTGATTGTTCCTTCCTAAGTGGAGCACTTTGCATTTCTCTTTATTAAACCTCATCCTGTTTACCTCTGACCATTTCTCTAACTTGCTAAGGTCATTCTGAATTATGTCCCTATCCTCCAAAGAAGTCGCAACCCCACCCAGTTTGGTATCATCTGCAAACTTAATAAGAGTACTCTCTATCCCAATATCTACATCATTGATGAAGATATTGAACAGTACGGGTCCCAAAACAGACCCTTGAGGAACTCCACTTGTTATCCCTTTCCAGCAGGATTTAGAACCGTTAACAACAACTCTCTGACTACGGTTATCCAGCCAATTATGCACCCACCTTATCGTGGCCCTATCTAAGTTATATTTGCCTAGTTTATCAATAAGAATATCATGCGAGACCGTATCAAATGCCTTACTAAAGTCTAGGTATATGACATCCACCGCTTCTCCCTTATCCACAAGGCTCGTTATCCTATCAAAGAAAGCTATCAGATTAGTTTGGCATGACTTGTTCTTCACAAACCCATGCTGGCTATTCCCTATCACTTTATTACCTTCCAAGTGTTTGCATATGATTTCCTTAATTACCTGCTCCATTATCTTCCCTGGGACAGACGTTAAACTGACCGGTCTATAATTTCCTGGGTTGTTCTTATTCCCCTTTTTATAGATGGGCACAATATTTGCCCTTTTCCAGTCTTCTGGAATCTCCCCTGTCTGCCATGATTTTTCAAAGATCATAGCTAAAGGCTCAGATACCTCCTCTATCAGCTCCTTGAGTATCCTGGGATGCATTTCATCAGGACCTGGTGACTTGCTGACATCTAACTTTCCTAAGTGATTTTTAACTTGTTCTTTGTGTATCCTATCTTCTAAACTTACCCTCTCTCTGCTTGTATTCACTACGTTAGGCACACCTCCAGACTTCTCGGTGAAGACCGAAACAAAGAAGTCATTGAGCATCTCCGCCATTTCCAAGTTCCCTGTTACTGCTTCTCCCTCCTCACTAAGCAGTGGGCCTACCCTGTCCTTGGTCTTCCTCTTGCTTTTAATGTATTTATAAAAGGTCTTCTTGTTTCCCTTTATGCCTGTAGCTAGTTTGATCTCATTTTGTGCCTTTGCCTTTCTAATCTTGCCCCTGCATTCCCGTGTTGCTTGCCTATATTCATCCTTTGTTAGTTGTCCTAGTTTCCATTTTTTATATGACTCCTTTTTTATTTTGAGATCATGCAAGATCTCCTTGTTAAGCCAAGCTGGTCTTTTGCCATATTTTCTATCTTTCCTACACAGCGGAATTGTTTGCTTTTGGGCCCTTAACAACGTCCCTTTGAAATACTTCCAACTCTCCTCAGTTGTTTTTCCCTTCAGTCTTGCTTCCCATGGGACCTTACCTACAAGTTCTCTGAGCTTATCAAAATCTGCCTTCCTGAAATCCATAACCTCAATTGTGCTGGTCTCCCTTCTACCTTTCCTTAAGATCATGAACTCTATTATTTCATGATCACTGTCCCCTATACTGTCTTCCACTTTCAAGTTCTCAACTAGTTCCTCCCTATTTGTTAAAACCAAATCCAGAACAGCTTCTCCTCTGGTAGCTTTTTCAACCTTCTGAAACAGAAAGTTGTCTCCAATGCAGTCCAGAAACTTATTGGATAGCCTGTGCCTCGCTGTGTTAGTTTCCCAACATATGTCTGGATAGTTGAAGTCCCCCATCACCACCAAATCTTGGGCTTTGGATAGTTTTGTTAATTGTTTAAAAAAGGCCTCATCCACCTCTTCCACCTGGCTAGGTGGCCTGTAGTAGACTCCTAGCATGATATCACCCTCGTTTTTTACCCCTTTTAGCTTAACCCAGAGACTCTCTACACAGCTATCTCCTACGTTCATCTCCACTTCAGTCCAAGTGTGTACATTTTTAATATACAAGGCAACCCCTCCTCCCTTTTTTCCCTGTCTGTCCTTCCTGACAGAATGTGCTCAGCATGTTTGTCTTAGACCTGCCCACTCTTCCCTGTTGAAGAAACAAAAACATGAACAGGGAAGAACTGTTCATTCTTCTTTTAAAAGACTAGGGGGGCAGTGTCCCCTGCTCTCTCTGCTTCCAAACTCAGCCCTCGCATTTGTGAGAATATTTGAACTGACAGTGGGGATAGTCCCAGAACTATTGTTTTTAGGCACTGTCTTCTGTCAGTAATGTGTATACATTTTATATTTTTTAAATAAAACACAGATTATACCATGTTTTATCAACTCTTCTAACCCTTTTCCATGTACAAGCTACTCACAGCTATTCATTAACATAGTATTGCTACTCAGGGGAACACATACATGGTTTTTAAATGGGTAAGAGTGGGCTGTTACTTGTTTTCATTTCATATGCATTGGCATAAAAATAATAAAAGGTAAGTAGCGTGGTGTGCATTTTCAAAAGTGACTAGTAATTCTGGGGCACCTACATTTTAGGTTGTACAAATTCACATCAGGGTGTGGAAGCAGTTTTTTTTTTAGAGAGCGTGGTTGAAAGCACTGCATGTGGTTGCTGTTATTACATCAAGCTGGGGGGTCCAGCCTTTGTTCCAGTGCCTTTTCTTGAGATGGTTTAAAGAAGACTGATTTTCAGAGGGCTGGTGGTTAGAGCTCTCTGAAAATCTGCTCCCTATAAGGAGTCTTAAGTAATTCACCCTTTGAAAATTTAGGCCCATCTCTAACCTATGTGGTGTCCTGTGGACACATGAGAACTTAGCCTCTGCTCCTACAAACCTTTGCTCATGGGCTCAATGGTAAGCCTGTGAGTAGTCATTGACTTCAGTGGAATTACTGGCATGTTTAAAGTTGAGCATGTGCAAACGTATTTAAGGTATCAGAGCCACAGCAATAGAACTTCTTGCTGTTTCATATGCATTTGTGAAAACAGATATTACATTTTTGTCTTGCACACAGAAAATACTTGGTAAATCAGAATTGCTCAATAGAAATTTAAAAATAAATCTTCAGTAATTGCAGATTCATTTACATAACCTATCTATTGGGGCTAGAAATGCAAGATTGCAATCGAAGCATTACCTGCTTAATGTGGTAGGAGAAGTTATCTTGGCACAATAAAGTCATTGGGTGGTGTCTCACATTTTATACATGGTTTCCTGGTCCTTATCATTAACCCCTTTTGGTCACAATAGGTCACAAGGATAATATTAGACTAAAATCTTTTATGAGAGGAAAATATGATTTGTCCCAAATTTCTTTCTTCCTTTCATCCAGAATGAGTTATTTCCAGCATAAAGCTGTAAAGTATAACCCTCCATAGAAGACAAGCACCTGATTGGTCATTTTTCTTCACAGAAACTTGCTTTGCATGTTTCGGATGTCATACATTCTGCACAAAAGTAGGCCTAATAAAGCAGAACTCTACTGCTGCACATAGAGATATGCTTAGTATTTTGACAAAAGAGGTGTGAATCCAGTTGATGATGTAAATTAGAAGAATGCACACTGCATGGGCACTAGGAAGTCCTGTGATCTCGTCCTGACTGCCGCTGGCTCTACCGATATAACGGCAACTGCCTCAGTTTCTTCACTATAAAACTGAGAAGGAACTTGAATCTACCTCATAGGTTTGCTGTGAAGCTTAATGTCTATCCAGTGCTTTTCATGTGAAAAGCTACATATGAATGCTGAGGATTAAATTATTATAGTATGATGACTGAATATGTTATCAGTGGGGTTGCTCACACTACATGCTGCACCAGCAGAATACAGTATATCCATCAGCGGATTAACGCAGGAGAAGTGTAAGATAGCTAGCAAAAGGAATGTCCTATTTTTCATAGGGTAGGGAGACCACTTTGATAGAAGCGGCGAGGAGTCCTGTGGCACCTTATAGACTAACTGAAGTGTGGGAGCATAAGCTTTCGTGGGCAAAGACCCACTTCGTCAGATTCGTGGTCTTTGCCCATGAAAGCTGATGCTCCTACACTTCAGTTAGTCTATAAGGTGCTACAGGACTCCTCGCCACTTTTGCAGATTCAGACTAACACGGCTACCCCTCTGATACTTGACACCTTGATAGAGTTCATGTCTCGTGGATCTGAATTTCTTACTACTCACAATCACATAACATGCAGGTAATAGCTGCAGCAAGAAAGTGGGCACAGGCCACTTCTTCCGATGATTGGAAAGCCCACAGAATCTCATGATACCATCTACATATTTTGTAGGTCTTTAAAGTGCTACCAGACTATTTGTTGTTTTTTAATTTTTTCCTGTTACAGACTAACTCAGCTACCCCTTTAAAGCTTATAAAGAAAGTGTTGAAGCTGAGGCTAAAATTCAATGGGTGTTGGGCATCTGAAAATCTCAGTCTTAATGTACTTTTAGCTGGTTTTCTTGCATATAAAGAAGATATAAAGAAGATGCATTGTGTGAGCTGCCAGCTTCTCCATAGACCACCATCAAATGCAGACCACCAATGTGCACGTAGCATTTTGAGCATCTCTGTTCTATAATCTTAGGTGGATGTCTCCTGTACTGTACCATTACTGCCTCCGAAGCTGTGCATTGTGGGATAAGAACGTTTATTGTGGCCAAAGTCTGGTAAAGCATTAATATTTGCCCTTTGCTTTCTCAGGCACAGCTGAGCTTGTTAAGGAGAACAAAGTACTGACTGGTTTTTGTTCCATCAAAAGACCAGAGGAATCAGGACGTGGAGAGGAAAGCTATAGAGAGCAGGTAATGTGGCTACAGTTATTTGATGGTTTTGAAATGTCAAGGCAGAGGATTTGGTTGCGTCTTTCATCAGTGGGACAGTGACTTTAATTTTAGTGGCACTTGGTTTTAATCACTGAGTGAGTAAATAGTTTCAGAGAAGTGATTTTAACTTAGCACTAGGTTTACTGCTGTGGGGAGAGGTCGGTTATATTCCTAAAAATATAGAGACACCAAGTTAAGTGACCTCCCCCAAAGAAACAAGGATGAAAAATCCTACTGGAAATCTTGGGAATATTTAAAAATGGTTGCTTAGAAAGCTGGAGTTACTGCTGGCATCCTTAATATGGGTTTCACTGCCAAGAGAGCTCAGAGTTTCTGTCATTACAGTTACAGACTTTTCAGGGTCATGTTTGAGGACAGTCCTTCCTGACTTCTTCAGTCTTTCACTTGTCGCTTCAGGGCTTCATTAGATGTTAATCAAGCCCTTGTTGTTCTTTGCTTCTGCAATCATTGTTCCACATCAGTTTCTATTTCAGGCTCCTGCCCTTAGGACAAAGCACGTGCCTGGAAAGAGGAACTTTGTCCTTAAGAGTTAAGGGAAGGGTTTCTTTTCTTTTTCTAACTGACCGTCAGATTGTTTCCGTTGTCTTATGGACATCTCTCAGCAGTGAATGGAAGTGATCAGCTTATTACATGGGACAGAAAAGTGTAATCAGAATAAGACACTGTACATCAGTGGTGGGCAAATACCGGCCCACGAGCCGGATCTGGCTCCTCCGGGTTAGCCTCTATATTTACCTGTGCCTCCAATCTGCCCCATTTCCCACAGATCCCGTGGGCTGAAACCGGTTATCCCCGGTCATTGGGAGCTGCAATTGCTTGTACCTGTGGAGGTGCAGGCCTATATAGTGGAGGTAGCCCGCTGTGACTAACACTGGCAAACCGTGGCCATTTTATTGCCCATCCCTGCTGTACACTATGGTGGACAAACAATATATGGCCATTGAAATAGCTAGAGGGTGAAATCCCAGTCCCATTGAAAGTCATTGGGTTTTTTGCTATTGGCTTTTTGGGGGCAAGGGTTTCACCCATGTAGAAGTCTATGTCTGTGCGTTTCATAGGGCAGGTCTGTTCTACCTACTTACTTCTGTAAAACTGCATCATTCTAGGGTGTGAAAAATTCACACCTCGGAGCAATGAAGTTATGCCAGCCTTAACGCTCTTGTGTAGACAGAGCTATGTCATCTAATAATTTCTGCGTCAAGCCTGTCACTTCAGCCTGACCTAACACGTAAAACAGGTAGTTGTAAGTGAGTTGTGGCTCACAAAAGCTTATGCGCTAATACCCCAACAAATGTGTTAGTCTTTAAAGTGCCACAGGACTCCTTCTTGTTTTTACTGAGAGTAACAGCGCTACCTCTCTAAAACAGGTAGAGACTCACTGCTTGGCAAATACAGGCAGTCCCCGAGTTACGTGGATCTGACTTATGTCGGATCCGCAGTTACGAATGGGGCCCTCTCCCTGGTCTCCAGCAGACCAGGGAGAGGAAGCAAAGCGGCGGAACACGCGGGCAGCGGACAGCCCAGACGTGTCTGGGCTGTCCGCTGCCCGCGTGTTCCGCCGCTTTGCTCCGGACGCCTGTGGTACAGCAGCTGGGGCGCTGCCGGTTGGTCCCGTAGCGCTGCTCTGGGCGCTACTGGAGCAACCCAGCAGCACCCCAGCTGCTCTGCCCCAGGCGTCCTGATTCAGCCACTGCTGGTCAGTTTCAGCAGCGGTTAACTTGGGGACGCCTGGGGCAGAGCAGCTGGGGTGCTGCTGGGTTGCTCCAGTAGCGCCCAGAGCAGCGCTACGGGACCAACCGGCAGCGCCCCAGCTGCTGTACCACAGGCGTCCGGAGCAAAGCGGCGGAACACGCGGGCAGCGGACAGCCCAGACGTGTCTGGGCTGTCCGCTGCCCGCGTGTTCCGCCGCTTTGCTCCGGACGCCTGTGGTACAGCAGCTGGGGCGCTGCCGGTTGGTCCCGTAGCGCTGCTCTGGGCGCTACTGGAGCAACCCAGCAGCACCCCAGCTGCTCTGCCCCAGGCGTCCTGATTCAGCCACTGCTGGTCAGTTTCAGCAGCGGTTAACTTGGGGACGCCTGGGGCAGAGCAGCTGGGGTGCTGCTGGGTTGCTCCAGTAGCGCCACTCCTCGGCGCTACTGGACCAACCCGGCAGCACCCCAGCTGCTCTGCCCCAGGCGTCCTGATTCAGCCACTGCTGGTCAGTTTCAGCAGCGGCTGAATCTGGACGCCAGTTCTGACTTACATACAGATTCAACTTAAGAACAAACCTACAGTCCCTATCTTGTACGTAACCCGGGGACTGCCTGTACTCGTGACTGGTTGGCAATGGGACCTCCTGTGCCAAGGGACACAAGGGTGGGGAACCTCTGTCCCAGGAACTGGATTTGGTCCCTCCCAGAATTGGGGAGCCGGTGCTTGAGCCCTGTGATCCCCTCCTGCCCAGACCCCCGACACCCCACTCTGCTCTTGCATCCTACCACCCTCCCAGACCCATCAACCCCAACGTACTCCTGCTTCTTCCATCCCTCCCAGACTCCACACCCGAAGCTTGTGTCCCAGCGCCCCCTCCCACGCACACTGAACTCATTTTTGGTCCCTCCCCAGAGCACGGGGGGGTCCACAAAATCTAGCTGGGGACCCCCGAGGCTCTGATGTGTGTTTGTTTGTTTTGCTTCTCACTTCTGTGCGGCCCCAGAGTAATTTTTCTGAGAGTCAGCGTCCCTCGACCCAAAATAGGTTCCCCATCCCCAAAGAATCCGGCGCTATTCAAGTTTATTGGATGACAAATCTTCTTTTAAAAATGTCTTTTGAAAGGGATGCACGCAATAGAATATGAGGGTAAATAACGCACCCATGTGAGTGCCTTGGTGTATAACGTTGTGTATATTGAATGGTCTGTACCCTTGTTGGCCGTCAAGATATCATTTCCCCTCCATGCCCCTCTCCTGTCTTACATTCCCCATTTGATAGCAGTTACTTTGCTTCTGATTAAGGAACAACTAGATAGGATTTCTCTTACTGTCCTATGCTGCACTTTAATCAGTGGGTCTCCCACTCTGGAGCTCTGCATAAGTTCCATGAGAAATAACATGCAACAGGCATGTAAAGGTTCGCAGGAATTGATTCTTGTCTGCATCCAGGACAAGTGTCTTCCTTTTTTTTATCTGACCTAGCCTAGGAATCCAGCCATCCCAACTGTGATAGCACCACTGTGATGTAGCTCAAACTCAGAAACCAGCTCCCTTAAATGATCTGTGTGGGCACAGGAAATGGCCAGGGCAACTCAGGGCAAAAATTGAATTAAGCAACACAACTTCAGCTACGTCAGTTGCACAGCTGAAGTCAGAATAGCGTAATTCAGCTTTTCGCGCTGTCTACACAGCAGGAAGTTGAAGGAAGAACAAACACTCTTCCTTCGACTCCCCTTATGCCTCGTGAAATGAGGGTTACAGGAGTTGGAGTAAGAAGTCCTCCAGCTCTCCGTTACTTTGAAATAATGGCTTACAGTGTAGACGCGCTCTTTGTTATTGTGAAATAACGTCACTTATTCCGAAATAACGCTGCTGTGTAGACGTACCCTCCCTACTCCAGTAATGCAGTATTTGTGCCCAGCAGGCAGAGTTAAGGACTAAGGCAGGCATGTCAAACTTGAAGCCTACTGAGGGCCACACAAACGAAACCTGATAGCTTTCAGGGCCACCAATGTACTTCTATCGGAAAGTTGTAATTATTTATTACTATAGATTATGTTTTAGGTATATTGTATAATATTTTTTCAGGTCTTGTTTGAATATAATACAATAATTTGATGTGTAAAATAGTTATTTGCTCATATATAATAATGTGGATAATTTTAAAATATAAATTTAAAGTACTTTTACATTATTTTTTATATGATACATAACTTGTTTTCTTGAAATGAAAACAAGTATAGACCAAAACAATAAGAGAGCGACTCATATTTCAGAATAATTGCTACAGCCTGGCAAATAATAGCCTTTGAATTTTCTTTAAAGAAACACAGTGTAAACCAGGTACATTCTGATTCTTTTTTTGTCCTGGAATTTAAATATGACATCTGTGTTGGCTGCCTTATCTGCAGCCATACCCTCCTCCCCAGCCTTCTCTAAGCCTCTATTTGTCCCCAAAAGGATTACCAAAACGAATTGAGTGGCTTGCAAAGCTGGCCTTTATGCTACCCTTAGGATTTCTAAAACCTGCCATCGCTGCCACACATTTCTTCCTCAGGCGCTGGGGCGGCATGAGTACAGCGGCCGGGTCTGAGCAGGCTTTTGCAGGTCGCAGGGGCTGGTGAAGAAGGCCTAAGACTGTGCGTAATTTGTATTGCAGGTAGGAATATGGGTCCCAAGATTACGACAGAGCTGCTCAGGCAGCTGCGGCAGGTGATGAAGAGTTCCAAGTACGTCGCCGAGCCCATCCAGGCCTACATTGTGCCCTCCGGAGATGCACACCAGGTAGAGAATTCAGTCCTAAGGATAGTTCCTTCTGGGGGGAAAGCAAAGGCCTATAAGTTTGCTTGCTTCAAAGAATTCCAGATAAAAGCATTGGTGAGGTGCGGAACGGTGCTGCGGGGAGCTGCAGCCAGGGTTTTCTAGCGTCGTTTTTCTGAGGGTCGGTGTTTGTTTCCCTGCAGAATGTCAGCGTTGCTGGTTCTGCTCTTCCCAGGGAAGCCCGTGGTCTTCAGAAATGAGCTTGTCAAAGAAATGGCTGCTCCCCTCCTGACCCTCGTAGTGTATCTTCTAGAGCTAGAGAGCCCTAGCCTGCAGCTCTCCCATGGGGGAGCGTCTGGGATGGCAGTAGGGAGGACAGCATGCTGCAGAGGCCCAGTCCCCTCTCCTCTGCAGACCTGGGGTCCCGTGCCCCCAAAGTGACTCCTCTCCGTGTCAGTCGGAGGAGGTGATCCCGGGCCCTGTCGCTTGGGAGTTTGATCACCATGGTTGCTACCTGCACAGTACTAAGATGGTCTTGATCTGCTGTAGTTGTTTAGCCCAAGGCAACTTTGAAATGTTGAACCCCCTCTTGCCCACCTCAATGTGTAAATTCAGCCTCCTCAGTCTTCCACGGAGCTTGTCTCAGTCTTCCACGGAGCTTAGAGCAGTGGTCCCCCAACTTTCGTGGCTGCCGGGCGCCCAGGGGCGGGGCCACTCACGTGCCGGGCGTCCGGGGGCGGGGCCATTTACGCGCCACGTTTCCGGGGGGGGGGCCACACATTGCATGTGCTGC